AAACACTCCCTCCTCCAGGGGAGACTGGGAGGTTAAATTGATGGGCGTGTGTACAGCACGGTGAGCGCCTCCGGGGGCAAGGTGCTGTAGAAAACCACAGAATTATGAAATAGCCAGCAAACTCTGTTCGCCCTTTAGTGTGCAGCAGTGTGGCTGGGAAATTCGAATAAGGCACTAACCGGATGGCCAGTGTTCCCTGTAAACACTCCCTCCTCCAGGGGAGACTGGGAGGTTAAATTGATGGGCGTGTGTACAGCACGGTGAGCGCCTCCGGGGGCAAGGTGCTGTAGAAAACCACAGAATTATGAAATAGCCAGCAAACTCTGTTCGCCCTTTAGTGTGCAGCAGTGTGGCTGGGAAATTCGAATAAGGCACTAACCGGATGGCCAGTGTTCCCTGTAAGCTGGGGCCAGGTGAATGCTCGGGAGGGATCCAGATGCCGCCCAGCTAATTAGCAGAGCGCCCACGGCTAGGTTTTGTGTTCCTGTTGGTGGTGCACATTGACACCTGCCTCAGTTCCCATAGCAGTTGTTCCATACACAGATGGAAAAGAGTAACGGGAACATGGGTTCTGGTGCAAAGGCAGAAAGAATTCCCCCCCGACCTCCCCCCAGGTCACACCACGACCTGTTTTCATTGTCCCTCTTCTTTCTCTACTTCCAGATCAACCCTCTGTCCTATGGCAGTGTGGTGCAGACCTACAGGCTCCCCAGCTGTGCGTGTTACCCCAAAGATTCCTGGAGCGCTCTGTGCAAGAAGCTGTTTGTTGGAGAGCTCATCTACCCTTGGAAGCATAAAGGGGAGAAGCAGGATTAAAGGGAAGCAAGCGAGCCAGGCCTGAAAGAATGAACCAGAGAACACCATTGAACACCACCCACTGGACCCTCAGCTGCTAGGTGGGGCAACGCCATTACCTCCTCTGTTGAGACTGTGGTAACATGGGGGGGGGGGGGGGAGTGCATTTTAAAGAGGAGGGCTTCATACAGTCTCCTTTAGCTTTCCCCTTCCTACATGGCCCCACCCAGCTGGCTGGGTTTCCAGGCTGTTGGCTGCTAATGAAGTGTTATTTTGCCCTGTTCCTGCCTGGCAGCACTAGAGGCCAGAAGTTTAACCCCTTGGTGCCTCTCCACAGCAACATGCCATGTAAACCAGGAAGTAGCTCCCCTTCGGCCTGATGAGCCGTTACTCTTTCCTGGGCCCTACAACAGCTGCCTGGGTCCAGAGGGTGATTGGAGCCAACAGGCTGAGGCAGATTATTACATCCAGGTGTTCTGGACCTGTCATAGTCATGTGTTCAAGCCAGTTCATCAGATGGACAGTCAGCGTGGAAATGGAACTGGTATGTCGCGCATTGATTTGCCCCATTGGTTTTTCTTTGGTGGTGGAATTGGTTTTATCCCACTGCAGCGCCAAAGGGTGAGCATAGAAAAAACATAGCATGGAGGCCAGAACACAGATGGCTCTGGGACCATGCCTAACCCACCATTTGCAGCAGGAACAGACAGAGGTAGGGTTTCACCACAAAAAAATCATATTTGGTCTGAATGTTCCTGACTGACTAGTGACACCGGATGTGTCTGTCTCTCTGTGTCCAATCTGAAGTCCTTTAAAGGGGCCTCATTTTTGTACAGTCCAGACCCTTTAACAGATCACAGATTTGGTCTCTAAAGCTAACACTAGTAGCTTTGGAAAATTTCGACCCCATTTCTTAAGAATAATTTTCTTGCCTAAGGTATTAACTGCCAGATCACAGTGCAGACGATGGTCTCTTTCGCTGTCCAGTTTTAAGTACAGATACATTATGATGTCTGTTCCCCTTTCAGGGTGTTCTTCCTATTAACTCTAATGGAAAATACATTTATGTGCTGGCTCGGGAGTAGCTTCTTTGGCATGTACCTACCTCATACATTTCTGTAGATTAAAATACCCATCTGTACATAGTCTCTGTAAGTACACTGTATCCAGATTTATAACCGTTACTGTATTAAAACAAAAGGAAGTTTTTCTTCACACAGTGCACAGTCAACCCATGGAACTCCTTGCCACAGGATGTTGTGCAGACTAGGACTTTAACAGGGTTCAAAAAAGAGCTAAATACATTCATGAAGGTTAGGTCCAGCAATGCGCACGCCGCCGGTGAACGGGGCGACGGGCTGAAATCCACTTGCGAGTAGATACACTGTTTTGTCGAGCCCTGGCTATTAGCCAGGATGGGGAGGAATGGTGTCCTTAGCCTCTGTTAAAGGCTGGGAATGGGTGATGAGACCGGGATTGCTGGATTATTCCCTGTTCTGTTCAGTCCCTCTGGGGCACCCGGCATTGGCCGCTGTGGGCGACAGGACCCTGGGCTGGACCCAGTCTGGCCGTTCTTATGTATCTTAAACAAGACACGTAGTGCCGGAGCACTGCTGCCATGTTGTAATGGCTGCATTACACTGGTGGTGAAGCTATTTCTATGGACTCAATCCTGCCCCTTCTCCTTTGTGATAGAAAGTTCAGCATGCAGCGGAACCAGCATGGGAAAGCAGGCTAGGATTTCAGGTGTCTACACTGCGCGGCTGCATACAGGGATACAGTGTGGACCCTCCACACGGCTCCACTCGCTGTTGTCCCTGCAGGAGTCCAGCAGGAAGACAGGCTCTCGTAGCTCCTGCTATTGCAGTACTTGTCACACAACATACCTACTGGCGTGCTAGACCAGGGCAGTTGTGGGGGAGGACCTTTTGCCCCATTGTGGGGCTAAGCCTGGTTACGTGGGCTGTAGGCAGGAGGAAGGAGGATTTGTCCCCATGTTTGTAGGCACCCCAGTCCCCTGCCTCCAGACCCCACCCCCACCTCAGCCCAATCCTGCACCCTCCTCCTGCTCTGATAAACTGGTTTGGATCTGCTTGTCTTAACCTCGGCATGAGTCCTACCAGTGATGCCTAGTGGACTCTAATAGCTTCTCACCCATGATTACAGGCTGATGCACACATTTTACCAGGACAGTATTCATCCGATTCCCAGTTTTCAACTGAGCGCTCACCCATGTAAGTGTGCTGAACGTGTGGGCGTCCCAGTAGGGGGCTCCAGACAACGCGGAGCCATGTGCCGGTTTGCCAGGCAGCATGGAGGTCAGTGGGGCAGCTGGTTTGGAAGAATGCAGAGTACATGGTGCCCCAACTGTTCTCTGCAGCATAGGTCTCCTTACGGCCAGATTGTGACCCCTTCTGTTGGGGAACGCTCACAGGCAGTGGGACTGCGCTTGTCACCAAGGGGGTTAACAGCCTGGCCCTTGGTGACTAAATAGCCCCTCAGACTTCCCGGCTCGCTCTGAGCTTGAGGGCCAGACTCCGATGCCCTTCCCTTGAGAAGCCCCCTAACGCTTCTTGTCTTTAACCCCATTGAAACGCCCGTACTACGCCGCTGGCTTCATCTCCAAGCAGGACCTGCCAGACGGAATCGGTTGTTCCAGGTTCTGCAGCCCGTCTCTGCAGCGGGCAGTGCTGCTCCAGGGAGGTGCGGAGAGCGCTCTAGTGGGCAGTTCCAGGCTGAGGAAGTCTTCCCCCCCCCCTTCTACACACCCGAACAGCCCTAATGGGTGTGAGGGCAGAAGCTGAGCACAGGAGCGTGGTCCAGCCTAGGGAAGTGAGTGTTTAACTGGTGGGCTGGAGCAGCCTCCTGCCTGCCGGGGCCCATCACATTTTACATCCCTAGTCCAGGCACTGGAACTTCTGCTAGCAATTCTGTGATGCCCAAAGAATCCAGTGTGCTCCCCCCGAGCTGCCAGCACCGCACAGGTAAGACTCCGAATATGTACCATCTCTGAAGAAGGTTGAAAAAATGACACCATCGTAACTCAGAATGAAGTCACTTCACAGTAGAACCTCACTTTACGCTGCCTCTATCGGCAGCCCTGTCAGGATGGCTTTGCCTCTTCAGCGCCTGCCACCTTTCCAAGCCTTCTTCCCCATCTTGGACTTCCCTGGTTACTGCTGATTCTTGTCTGAGATCTGGAAAACCGTCTGGCCTCTGGTGTCTGCTCAGGCTCACTTGTGTAGTGCGGTTAACAGATTGTGCCTCTCACCCCGCCACAAGTTGTGACCCCTCTTGGCAAGTGCCAAACTTGCTAGATGCGCCAGCATTAAGTTAGCTCTATAAAGACGCTGACAGTGATTTGTAAAGTGGTAGCCAGAGCCTGCCAGCGCACCGATCCTTCCCAGATCCTGCTTAGAGCCAGACAGCTTGGAAATGGAACCACGTCTGGTCGTCCTTGCCTGGGCTCTCCTCCCTGGGACTCAGCAGCTGCTGAATTGGTGCTGGAGTGGAAGAGGATACTTGGGTGGGACGTGAGCCTGTAGTGTATTGTCTCTGCCTCCTTTCGGTTGCCGCGTGAGAGCCAATCGTCAAACCTTGATCTGAGTATGAAGAGAGACACTACAACAAAGCAGCATTTGTCTGGCTCAGGGTTTCTCAGCCCTGCTACAGCCACCCTGGATAGAAACATTCTTCTGTGCTGGGGGAGTGGAAGAGGATACTTGGGTGGGACGTGAGCCTGTAGTGTATTGTCTCTGCCTCCTTTCGGTTGCCGCGTGAGAGCCAATCGTCAAACCTTGATCTGAGTATGAAGAGAGACACTACAACAAAGCAGCATTTGTCTGGCTCAGGGTTTCTCAGCCCTGCTACAGCCACCCTGGATAGAAACATTCTTCTGTGCTGGGAGCCGCATCCTCAGGAACAGGCCGTGTCCCAGCACTAATATTTCTTTGCGGGAGAGAAAGAGCCGCTTGTCCTGCGGGGCTGACTTCAGCCCCGAGAGAGTGCTGTTGTTGGAAGGAAGTGGCTCTGGCACTAGCTTGTGGGTTGGGGGTTCCCCATGTGCAGTCCTGCAGTTGGACTCGAGCCTTGTACCCAGCCGAGCTCCATAAACAGAGTGTTCACTGCACGCCAGGCCATCTCCAGACAGCAATCCAGTCTAGAGAACAGGAGACAGACGGGTGTTGAGACGCTGTTTAACCTCCGCTCTACAGCCACTCCGCACGCAGGCCTCTTGCTCAAGCCAACATGCATCCAGCTCACAGGATGGCCCTCGGGTTAACTGCTGTAGATCTGTACGAGATAGGAATGGACACTGTGCAAGAGACTTTCAAAGCCCATAGGAATAACCTGCAAGTCTCACATCACGCTCCGACCTGGGGCTGGTGTGGGTGCCTCTGGGAGAGAGCTGCCATTAGTGACACATCTCAGCAGGGTGAAAACACCTGAGGAGCCAGGTCATTGGATGTTTCCTGATGAGAATTGGCTGCCTGAGCTGCCTGCCAGCTCCCATGTGGATTTGAAAGCCAGAAGGAGCTGTTGTCTGTCCAGACGACACCACAGTCCAGCCCGTGGCAGCCAGAGGAGGTTGCATGGCTCATAAATTGGTGCCAGGGCTGAGTCCCACTGGAATGCCTGACCAAGGAGGAAGTTGCCTGCGTGGTCAGTTAGCGCGTGTCTACACAGCCAGGCTAGAGCCAAAATAAGCTACACAACCTGAGCTCCGTCAATTGCATAGCTCAAGTTGAGAGAGCTTCATTCGGCTTTTGGCGCTGTCCACGCAGCAGGAAGTCTGAGGAAGAGCGCTCTTCTTCCGACTTCCCTAACTCCCTGTACAATGAGGGTTACAGGAGTCGGAGTAAGCAGTCCTCCAGCTTGACATTATTTTGATGTTGTCGAAAGACCTGCTTGTGTGTAGACACAGACTGTGTTTCGGAATAACAGCGCTGCTGTACCCTTGGAGGAATCTGCAGTGTTGTAACTAAATCAGTGTAGTGACAAGGTGTAGCTCCTTGCCGTCAATGTGCAGCACCAGCGGAAAGTGGGGTTCGATGGGGTATACCAACCGCCCTTGGGCTGGAAAGGGTTAACAACCTGCCTGGAGTACACCAGCCCTGCCTGCTACCCCTTTAGTGGGTGTCAGGCCTGTAGGAAGGGATTGGAAAGGGGAGAGCTCCAAAGATGAACCTCTGCCGTGATCAGTAGAATGATGATGTAGTCCAGATAACACGCCACCCCGCTGAGTCCTGAACATGCCTGTCCAGTGAGCAGCAGACCAAGCTGACGGGTGTGTGTGTGTGTGTGTGTGTGTTGCGGGGGCCTGGGTGTGTCTGCTGTGGTTGGGAAGGTACTCAAAGAAACACGTCATGTTATGAAAATGCCTGCAGGTGTCTCAGTGGCTGGTGTAGTTAAACTCCAGTGTTTAAATCGTTCTTAACAGGAAGATACCAAAAAGGGCTGCACAGACGTTTGGCGCTTCTTCTGAAATGCGTGCTAGAGAGGGAGCTCTTTTAAGAGCCTCAGGCAGTTTAGCATTGAATGGACATCGGCTGCCAAGCATGAACAAAGTGTGCGCATACAAACAAGACTGGTGTTTATTTTAAAACACCACTGTTATGCCGTGCAAAGCCGAGACTTCCTTTCCATTGCGACCAGTTTAAAATGCAGCAGACAGTTCAGTGAGCAAGACCTGGCCTAATGAATGGAATTGATTAATGCTACTTGTCATAAAGTTTGCCTGGCACGGGGGCGGGGATCTGAGCCTGCCTGGCTGTACTGCCAGGGTGGAGTCACGTCTTGACGGGGCTTGGAGAGGGTCTGCAATAGAACTGCATTGGACCAGTGTCCTCTGATTTTCTAAGCCTGATGTTTTGTGTTTGCACTGTAGACGCTGGTAATGGAATCGTTGTACTCCTGGCAGTCGTTTTCTCAATTAGTCATTTCAATCACAACTTACAACCTATTTGGATTACACTAGAATAAAGCTGTTTTTAGAACAATCCTCCAGTCCGGATGGTGACGCTGTGCCGGGCATGGGAAGGGCGCCAGCCACTAGAGTGTGCATCTTCATCTGTGCAGAGGCAGACAGCCGTGAGGTGAGGCTTGCTGAGCGTGGATCGGGACTCGGGTCGCCTTGGGAGCGGACAGCGGTCTTGGTGCAGAGCATCAGGAAGTAGCTCACTCAGCTTCTGCCGTCCGGGGTGCAGCTGGTGAT